CAAACCAAAAACAAGCCTCACTTGGTATTAGTCATATCATGGTTCAAATCAAGAGCAATATCTCTAAAGTTCTGCCTCTTAAGGTTAGGGCCAGCTCTACTCGTAGAGAATGCATAGAGAGCCCAGGGCAGGCTTCCAAATGTTCTCCATCTCTCACTGAAATAGTCTGCCAGGAGGCAACACACAGATGCAATTTGTGCAGTACACACTGCAGTATTTGACTAGCACCCCTCCCTTCCCACACAGCAAGAGCCAGAGCATTAGCTCAAGACTTCTGAAATTTGAGGGCAAGGACTATGCTCAAAGTTGATACATTTTTCCATAACCCAGCAATCTTCCTAAATAAAAGAAGAGATGAAGTAAGGAAAGCATAAATTCACTGTGCTACTCTATTTGCTTTGTAGAAGTATCTTCTGTTTTCAAGCTAGATAAAGTAAGTGCCAGGTTAGGAGTACTGTGTTTTCATATCGCAGAATCATTTCTGTAATGCACAGCAACACATCTGTTTAGCCCCACCCAACAGTGCATTTTGCAAAAGCTGCATCTCAAGAGTATCAATTTCAAGATGTCAAGGGGAGCATGGACAAATACACAAGAATGACCTAACAGCAATCTCCAGTGTTTAAAATGGATCACCCTCAGGGTCCTAGCAGATGTGAGCTACCTACATGTCCAAGCTAAAACATACACAAGCTAACCCAGTACCCCACCTCAGCCCACAGGAACCAGTGATGACATCTACCTCATTTCCCTTCCCTTTTGCTCTCTGCAGAGACCTTAGAGACTCCAGCTCAATTGTGCTTGATCCCCAAGTGCTATCCAAGCAGTTGTTTATATACTGAAGTGCTTTGTGTGTGCTGTTTAAAATTATGAATTAATTACTGACCTCTTTGGCTCGGAGACTGCATAATAATTTGTACAACTTTACGCAGACAGAGTAGCTTCTGTTGAGGGGAAGTGCATTTGTTCAACTGACCCAGTTCTCGCTTTGCACGTGGTATATTAAAACTACAAAATAATTAGAAAGGAATGATAAGCATACAGAGTTCCTCTGCAGGATGTCCAAAGCCCAAATTTTAATTTATTCAGAGCTGAACTGAAGAATAGTTCCAAAATATTCCCACTTCTACTCCAAGTGCACTGCATTTCTGTATCCTGTAGATGGCTTAAAAACATAAAAGGAAAGGAGACAACCATCAATGCAAAGATTGTCCTCATATGACACTTGCAAAGCTTTGATTTTACATCTCAAATGAAAGTATAACAAAACTTGCTCGTGTCTGAAAGAAAACACTTTTTGGCTGACATGATCCTGTTTAAGACAGGATCTCAGTGACTCTTCAAAGAATCCACAGTCATCTCTCACCTGAATTCAGGCTTCACTCCAATGTCTTTCTGCTGCAGGTCCTGAAGGCTCCTCGTGATTTTATTAAAATCAGCATCCTAATCAATAGAAGGGCAGCAGGTTTTTTAAATGCCTTAGATGAACATCACTAATATGTAGCAATCAAAGAAACTCACCTCACTTGCCTCAATCGTCCCTACATATTTGAAGACTAGATCATAAATAGCATGATGGATATACATCTGTAGAAAAAAAAAAAAAAGACAGCATTTTAGGCACGAGAGGGAGAATTAAAAACAGCTTGCTAATTATTTTCCTTCATTTCAGATGCTTACTTCAACTGCTTGTTTGATCAGATTCATCTGCTCTTCTTGCTTTGCAAGCATCTTCTAGAAAAGCAAAGCCATAAACAGCGAGAGAAAGTCAGATAATTTATTGCTTAAGTAACACTGTACTATGTATTTAGGGGAGTAAGTCTTTACCAAGTGCGAATCTCTCAAAAGATGCTGCAGACATTTGGTATAAAGTGCATTGACAGAATCCTAGGAAAGAGAAAAGAAAAGCCATCAGATTCAGGTTAATGGGACTTGAAGGAACAAACCCTAAATAAGTAAAACTTCCCTGTCTCTAAAGGGTACAGTATGGTAAGAGTTTTAGCAATAATAATTGCATTTACTAAAGAGTTCAGATAGCAAAATTCTTACATGTGAATTACCACTTCTCCCTCCTCCCCTTTCACAACTCTAGGCTACTCTGACACAGAAAAGCTCAATAAGGCAAAGATAGCAGCAGTGAAGCAAATTCTATTTAGCAAATTAGCCATCAGGAAGGAAGATACTGACTATGTAGTGGCGGAGGCTTTTCCTCTCGTGTTCTTTAAATGTTCTATAGAATGATCCTAGGTATTTATCAAATCTCTCACAGTGCCTTCCCAAGAACTCTCTAACATCTTCAATGTTTTTAAGAGAATAGGAGTTTGATGAAGCTGTAGATTCACCTAAAATAGAAGCCAAGAATTAACATACAGGCTTAATATGTATGCATGGTAAAATACTTTTTGTCCCTACACACAGTCAGTTTGTGTGCACTGAAACATTAACTCAGCTCACTGCACCTTTAACTAGACATATTGCCTTTAATTAAAAGAATTTAATGTATCACATTTGAGCAGGGTCCTCTGCTTTTTATGTCAAGGATTGATTTGGAATAGCTAAAATAGATTTCACTTGTTTTTGACACTGGGATAATTTATTACCACATGCACTCAGCTTATGAGTCGTTTAAGTCAAGCTTGAAAGTAGAAGAAAAGCACATTAGCGTTGACAGAGTGCCCGTCCAGGAAGTCAGGGTGCTTTAAGTGAGCTGAAAAAAATCCCATCTTTGACTTTTACATAAGCTATTCTTTATTTAGACATGCTTTCTCTGAATGGGAGAGCAAAGTTACATGAAGCAACATTAAAGCAAATCCACTCTTCTTCTGAATAAGACAACTGAATCCCTCACTTAGAATTCATGCTGTTTTTCCAAAAGTTTTTTCTAGGCAAATCTTTCATCTGCAGTCAAAGGCAGCCAGCTAATAAGAGGCTTAAATCATTCTTTCCAAATTACTTCTGAAATTGGAAACTCCTTCACTTCTGAAAGACTGTGATATGACTATATTAAGTAATGGCTATAAAGAACATCACAAGAATAATTTTTGAGACATACATTAACACTTTTAGAATTTAAGGCTATATGAATGGCAGCTGGGTTGGGTTTTTTTTCAGAAAGCCTTCCATACTTCCCTCACAGTACTACTTTCACACTACTCTAGTACTACTTCTCTTTGCATTCACTTGTTTCAAATATTCTTATTTATTTAGGAAGACTAATGTTTTTATTTCAGAAAAAGCTGAAGCTTCTAAGCTTCTTAAGGAGCTTCTGTTCTTCTTAATTAGTAAACATAGATTGTTATACAAGTACACAAGGACATGCTGTTAACATTCACAGTATTGGCAGTAGTCTTGAAAACAGCTTTAAGGAGTATATTCAGTGCAGGACAAAAATTGAGACACTCAACTTTGTCAGCTGGGCCACCACCAGGAGGCTGTTACCTAACTCTGCCACACAACCTCAATCCCCCTAAAAAGTGATCATGAAAGAATTTAACTCTCCAGTTTTTTGTGCATCCACCTTACACATTGTGTCTCAAGACACACATGGTCACACTTAGGATTAAGTGCCTGTTTTAAGCAGTCAGCACTAAATTGAGCATGGCTAAGAAAAATCATGCTGGATTAACTATTCCACAGATGATTGTAAATTCTACAGGATTTATGTCCCAGTCTCAGCACTAGTTTTGCTGGGAGCAACTTGATATTTCTCTGCAGCAGCACACCAACATCTGGCCCAGCAAGCTCAAAAATGCCAGGGGTTTTTAGCCAAGCCAACGTTTTCCAGAATGAACATGTTTATTAAAGACAAACATTAATTTGCTCACTGTGCAAACTGTTGCCAAATTGACATCAATACATACTTGAGCTTTCTGTTTTTTCCAATGGATGAGCTATGCACAATATACTAAAGCTTTCTTCTTTTTCATTGTAAAAGGTTTCCTCAAAGAGAACAGGTACTGAGAGAGGGTAATTAAAACCAGCTCCTAGAACGATGAGGTTTCCTTGTATGAAGATCTCCTGAAACGAAACAAAGAGCAGATCAAGTGTGAAACTCTGCCAGAAAAAAGTTAACTCTTTGGCTTCTACCTTGTACAGTTACACTTTCAAGGGGGAGGAGAGAAACTTGCTTACAGCCACTTCTTCTACAAGTTTACTGCTAGAGCAGGTTTCAGACAAACACCAAGGTCTTGTTTGCAGATTTCAGAGCACTTTTAGTAGAAAGGAAATTTAAAACAACCCAACAACTTAAGATGAGGACTTAATCCCAGCCTCAGAAGAACACCACACACCTTGTCTGTATTTCCCATACTTTGCTTTCTTTTCCCAGCAACTCCAGTAAGGACATCTGGAATAGGAAGACCCAGATGGCAGCCTGCAAACTCTCTCTAGTGCAAGCTGTACATCCAAGTTCTCAGACTGTACTGCACAATTACAAATGAAAGACTTGGGACAGTGCAGTGTCAGCCCTGCTTGCCTTTTCTGTAACCATTAGTTCACACAAGCAGTCAGCAGCAGTGAATCACTTACTGGGGTGTCCCCAAGCTATATTCAGATAGTAAACAGAAATACCTTTCCATTTAAGGTTTGAAAATTTTCTTCTAGAGGCTTCAGAACATAAGAGTCAAACTGGCAGGTAGAAAGGCTGCTGCTTGAAAGGCTTCCTTTGCATGGAACTAGCACCTAAAAAAAGTTAAATCATGCTTGAGAGAAATGCTGTATGTTACCAGCTATATATTAATATCCTTTGTCTTTAAGAGGCAAGCAATTAAATCAAGCTTATAAATATTTACAGTAAACATAGAGGAACAATAGGTGCTTTTATTTAAATAAAAAGGAAAGGTTATCATTAGATACACAGTCTGATAATGAACCCAGAAATTTCACCTAGTATCTATCTAAAAAACGGTGACAGATGCAACTGAAGCAAACAACACTAAGGGAAGTAAATTAAATCTTTAGTTACTTAGCAGCAGTCACAAATGACTTAAAATGACAACAAATTACTTAAAATTAAGCAGCTAATAAAAAGGAGTATATTTTCAAACTCAAATGAAAATCCATCAGAAAGAAAAATATGTAAGATAAACATCTTGGGTTTAGATTGACAGACCGGCAATTTGGGACAAATTCATAATTAGAAAGAAACAAATTTTATCAGGTAACAATAACCTCTTTGTTTAATTGGGTCTCTACACACTCAATTGTGAATGATAACCAATTGCAAAATACTCAGATTAATAAATATTAAGGACTGGAGTTTTTATTCCAGGTCAGTTTAATAGCTTTATTCTGCTATGTAAAATGCTGTCAAATGAGTAACTGCTTGTCTACCAGGCATTTCAAAAGGTCAAACCCTCTTATAAACTTGAGAGCATATGTAACTTCAGTTCACAGAAAAGAAAATAAGTTTCCTGTAGAGTTTAGAAACACCACCAACCTTAGCTTTTTACTACTGTGCAATATATCAAGAGGTCCATATTAGCAAATAACATACAACTTAAACTAAAAATTGCTCTGCTTAATTTCCAAGTTTTGTAGGCTTGAACTAATCTTTAAATTATGTCTGCTATGAAACATGTAAATTCAAATAGCTACTATTTACTAAGCAGCTTTTAAGTACACTTTTTCATACTTACAATACCATGGAGTTCTGCAACTTTGCTGCATAGATCAGGACGTCGCTTCTGAATGGCCAAATAAAAGGGATTTTTCAAGATATCTTCATCATACATAGCCATATGGACTTCAGATATTCCAAGGAAATGTTCTAAAATACATGTGGAGAATGGTTGATGTATTATACATGCTATCTGTTAAAACCTAGTATTTGGGAATACCTAGGGGCAGTTTGGTTCTCCTTGTCCAAAAGAAAAAAGCAGTTTCAGATCTTGATGTAAGCAGCCAGTGGCATTGCTTAACTACTAAAGTTACTTAGATGTTATTCAGACAGAATATTCTTCCATGATTATACATTTCCAATCACACACAGTTATCCTCAGTGTCTCCTCAGGCCTTCTGAGAGTCTAACTGTGAATATCAGAGAGAAGTTAAGATCAAAATTATTACCACTTTGATATACAAACTAACTTCTCCTGCTGAGAGCTAAAGCCAAGAAACAAATTAACAGCTTTTTCACAGCAGATGCTACTGCACCACAGGACAATCGACGATTTTGCACGGTGCTCATGTAAGTCCTAAAACTCACCTCTAAGGATTATCATACACATCAATGAGACACCCAGGCAGTGTAACTGAAACCCTCGTGTAAGGCAACCCTCAACTTTCCAGGGAAAGTTAGAGAGGTACACCAAGAAGATATGAATATCCATGTCATAATTAAAAAGCCACCATGAAATTTATCATAATTTGCGGTCATCTCTACTCCCGTGAAAAGTGTCTCAGTGATTTGAGGTCAGGCTGGTAAGTAACATTTGGCTAAACAGAGAGCAAAAGAGCAACTGGAGAGTGAAAATCCAACCTATGATCGCTGGAAATGCTGTCACTAGGTGTCACAGTGCCCTGGAGAAGATGATCCCTAAGGAATCAGACCTTGACCTGCTCACTTCCTCAATTCCAATTCTCTGTAACACATCATACACAAGGGCAGGAAAAACCCGAACAGGTCCCTCCTGGAATAACTTGAAAAATTTTTTAACAAGAATTGAGATGAACAGGCATACAAATAAATACTTAAATAACAAGCTTGCCCTATCTTTCCCCTCATGCAGGTTCCCTTAGTAATCAACAGAAGTTGCATGATTTCCTCATGCAATTTCAGCTGTCCATAGGGTGAGCACAGCTGGAGATTTTAATTTGAGCACACCACCCTTACACAATCCATAGCCCCTTTGTTTCCTCCAATGCAGAATTATTCCTAGCACATTATTTGCTCAGTGTGAGCTCACTGTAAGGCAGTTCAAGGAAGTGGAGAAACATACACCAAATTCCCATGCATTCCAGATAGCCTTTGAGTTCCAGCCATGCCATCAGCTGATCTACAGTAACCGAGCTGGGCTCTGCTCCCTCCTTCTGATAAGGCACAAGCTGAATTCCCTTAGAAAGCTGAACACAAACACAACCACTTAAAGCTACAAGCCATTTCCACTATAAAAGTTATCACCAGTTACTCACAGCTTGGACAGCCCCAACCTCAACCACTGATCTGGTGGCAGCTAAGTGCCTCAAGCAGTTTTTCTGCACAATTCCAGACAAAATGGTCCATCCACTTTCAAAGCATACAATAACACCAAGAGCTATCAATGATTACTTATCCAGTGCTCCTATATCAGCACAGCTATGCAGTTTGCTAACACAATGTGGAAGAAAATGTTTGCTTATTAACATCTTCAGAACACCAACCAAGTCGAGTAATTAAAGACTGTGAACCCAGAAAAGGTCCAGCTTAACATGGGCTCAGTACGAGCCAGCAATCTGCATTTGAAGCCCCAAAACCAACCATGTCCTGGGCTCATCTCCCTGCATGGACAGCAGGTCAAGGGAGAGGAATCTGTCCCTCTACCCTGCTCAGGTGACATCCCTCCTTGCAGAACTGCCCCAGCCCTGAGGTCCCAGCACAAGGACATGGAGCTGCTGCAGAAAGTCCAGGGGAGGTGGCAGAGCCCCTCTGCTCTGCAGACTGGCTGAGAGAACTGGGGGGGGTCAGCTTGGAGAAAAGAAGGCTCCAGGGAGACCTTGTTGCACCCTCCAGTACCTAAATAGGCTGGAGAGAGACTTTGGACAAGGGCCTGAAACGACAGGACATGGAAAAACCTTCCCAATAAAAAAGGATTTGTATTAAATGTACAGAAGAAATTCTCCCCGTGAGGGTACTGAGGCCCTGGCACAGAAGCTGTGGCTGCCCCATCCCTGGAAGTGTCCAAGGCCAGGCTGGGCAGGTGCCCCTGCCCATACCCAGAGGTGCAATGAGATGTGCTTTAAGGCCCCTTCCAACCCAGACCAACCAATGCTATAATCCATGATCTGTCCTACAACAGTGTCTGGGTAAACAGGATGATCACCAGTAATTCCACCACATGATCCCTATTAAGATTTCTTGGCAGGCAGCTGCAATCCAAGTCCAAGCTGTGGGCTTCTTCCTCAGCCAGTGCAGAGGGAAGAAGAGGCAGCACAAGTTCCTGCTGCAGGAACACAGGTATCTCACTATTGATCCACACAACAGCAGGGCTCAGACACCTTCTCAGACAGGACTAGTTAGCTACAAAATACCCTGCCTGCTGAATATCTGGCTAGGCCACAATTCCAAGTAAGTCCAAACATGACTCAGTGACAAATTAGTATATATAACTACAGTTTAGTAAAAGTCAAGCACCAAGCAGGGCTGTATGTACACACATGTGCAACCTGCAAAATAGTTTGCCACAGCAAGACTTGAGAGTCCCACATTCTTTTTTTTGTATGTTCCTGTCTGCATCACAGGAGATAAACTGACTGGAGCAGAGCGTGAAGTAAGAAAGGCAAAGGAACCCTGAAAGCAGAATCCAATCCACAGAAGGCAGTGATACTTATAACAAACTGCATGAAGCAGGTAAGGATTTTTTCCCCACAGATGGATCAAGCTTTCAGTAAAGGGCATTTTTCCCACCTCTAAGAAGCACACCTTAACTGAAGAAAACAGGTTCAGATTACAGATCAGGAACACCTTCCAAAAGGAAAGGTAAACACATGGTTTAGACTGCTTGGCAAAGCAATCAAGTCTCTTATGTTGTAAATCTCCAAGAACATGTCAGACAAACCTCTACTAGAGGTGACAGAGGGCACAGTGAGGCTGGGAGGGTGGATAACCTGGTCTTTTGAGACACTTCCCAAATCAAGCTTTCATTAATGCAGCTGTCCCACTGAGGCAGTTTGATCTGCCTTTAGTTTGGTGAATTTGTGTTATCTGTCTAAGCAGCAGAAGGATTGCTGTGATCCTCCCCAAGACAGAGAGGGAGAAGCTGTTAACACACCACATGGTGTCAGGGGAAAAAGCACATTGACACAAGGAGGCAACCAAGCATGAGACTGCAGTGCTAAAACCGCAGTGCACAAATGTCTCCAACAGCTTTATTGCCAGTCTTACAGCCTAACACATCTTCAAGTCCAAAGACTTCTTCCCATAACAGGAGGGGAAGAGAACACATACCATACATCCTCCTCAGCTAAAAACCTCCACCTCACCATCAAAAAAACCCCAACTGATTAAATTTCTTTCTGGACAAAGCTTAAGTAACATTTCATTCCCTGACAAAAAAGGTGTAAGAAATTTATGTGAGAAGCTCCCACAGAAAGCCTGACCTCATGAAGCTTGCTGAGGTCTGACCTCTTAAAACACTGCCTGCACCTGAAAAAAAAACAACAAAAAAAAAGAGCAACTGGAGTACTTTAAGAATCATTATTGACAGACCATCAGAGGAAGATCTTGAAATTATAATCTTCAATTCCTGGTTCATGAGTTACACACCACAAATAACTGGTTTTCTAAACACTTAGCTGCAGCCACAGATTCAACCCTGTCAGTAGCTCTGTTGTAAAAGAACCACACTTGGAGCTGCAGCAAGGAGTGAAAAGAAACTGCATTCAAAGATTGAATTCTGGCATTTTAGTTACTGTAATGCATCAAAGGTGCCATTGACATGCTCCACCCCAGGAAGGAAGGTAAAACTTGCAGTTCACACCCTTGAGCAGAGCAGATGGGAACCCTGCACTGCTCCCTGCATGCACATTCCTACACAGCAGGAAACAACCCCCACCGGCCACATTAGTACTGTTTTGAGAATTACAACTCTCAACTTCCTTCCCTTTCCTCTCTCCCTTACCCCTGCAGCTGTTCAGGGTCTCATTAGGGGATATCTGATTAAAATGTGAGTATGAAAAACAGGTGGAATACTTATGACCAAAAATTAGTTACTGTATTCACTTGGCCCTCCATCACCTTCCCACAGCATTCTCCAGAGAGACAGAAGTGTGGAGATAGAAACAATTTAAGTCATAAAAAAAAGAAAAAACAACCAAACCAAAGGAATTTAGTCTACAGATTCATTAAAGAAGAGAGTACATCAAAGCTTCCCCAAAGCTCAGGCACTTTTGAGATTAAGTTGATTTCTTTCCACCCCAAAAGTTAAATGCATCTGAAAATACTGGCTAATGCATTGCTGTAATTCTAGGAACACATTAGAATTCTCCATTAAGAGTTCGTTGGCATCCAGCTTCAACCTAATTAACTTGGGGGTGACACAGACTTACTTTTCTAGCTGCACCTTGGACAGCTTTAGCTTTACAGTGACAACAGAAAATGCACAAAGCCTTATATACATTACCAGATCTGATTAATACTTAACAGAACATTCATTAAAAACCATCATCAGTTACATTCACTTTGAAGCTTACCAAATTCTATCATGCTGAGCAGTAAAGCAATACTCAAGCACTAATGTTATATAAAAGGTTTAAATGGAATCACTTCAGTGTGTGGCTTCATGCCTGTAAACACAGAAATAGCTCAAATTGCTGAAAGAACAGAAGATAGCTGGATCAGACAATCTAATAAGCATTATGTTACACTTGAAAAAAATCCCCAATAATCAGTCTTACAACGGACTAATCCTTTCTAGATCAAAAGCAAAGTGATAATTCTAACGATATAACTATGGTGAAAAACATTGAATCTAAGCATGTCACTTTTCTCTAAAACACTGGAAATTAAGCCTAATTACCTTTGGTACTGCAAACAGTGAATAGGAATAAATTCTGATAATTTATTTTCTCATTGACGGTATTTTCCTTTAGAGATGGAAAAGTGAGGAACCTTTTCCAGATCTTGCAGGTTTCAGTTCCTCTTAAGAAGTACTTTGAAATTTAGACAAACAGCCATAGAAGTGGCTGATGTCACTGTATTTGCATTTTACTTAGCAGTTACCTCCTGTCTGCATTCAACTTGTACAACTATTTACTGAAACCTTCGGCTCATCTTCTGAACATCCTGCTACATCCCTACTAAAGGCTTAAAACATTCTGTAGAAAAAACATCTTTCATAACAGCATGAGGGATGGTGTGTACAAATACTACACAGTCAATGTTGAGCAGCATAATATTCTGTGTTTTCACTATGGCATTTTAGTAAACATTCAGCAGAACAAAAAACAGCTACCAAAGTCAGTACAAATTATCAGCCAAGTTCAGTAACACCAACTGTCTCCAGAACAGCAAGTTAGGGTGTTACTGGGATACTAACATCAAGTACCTCAGTGTCCTCTCCACACACATCCAGCTTCAAGGGAGCAGAATGCCATGTTCTCCAAAACCTTCAACACCACATCCATTAGCACGGCAAGAAGTATAAATTCACTTAATTTTATTTTACCAGTATTGTCAAGTTTCACATAACATCAGCTTCACCTTAGCTCACAATAGCTACAACAGGAACAACTAAGGCTTAGTAATCCAGCAACTTGATATTTGCTGAAGTGCTCAAAATAATGAGTAAATGAAGAGGAGCAACTCATGACTCAATTAAAAGATTTTTACTTCAGAGTCGCAATACATCTCTGATAAAGTTTGTATGTGTATTTACCATTCTAGCAAACTGCACAGCTCCACAAAAAAAAAAAAAAAAAAAAAGGCAAAAGGAAGCAATAGTTCCCCAGTTCTAAGTCAAGGGGTTTTTTTAACAGAAGTGCTTCCCCACACACCTTAAGAGCGCCACTTGTTAGAAGGAACAGCCAAAGGTAAGCATATCTTGAGAGCTCTTTACAAGCAAACAAGAATCTAACTGGGGAATTTAAATAGACTCAGTCTAAAAACTCAAGTTACCACTCCAGTTCCTGTTTTGCCAGCACTATTACTCATCAATTACTCTGATTCTGGGCAAAAGTTACAATCTGAACTTGAGCCCTACATCAGCATTCACCCCAAAATTAAAAACAAAAAATAATTACTTTTTCTGAGCATTTAAAAACTCTAAAGGATGAGCATTGAGCATCTTGTGAAAAACACAAGACACATTCCAGTACACCGTGCTCATCACGAGGGAATAAATAAGTAAATCTATTCCTACCCCTTTTAGATTCGGGTTCAGCTTGTACTGATTTCTGTGGAATGGAAGTATGGAATAATAGCACCTTTGAATTATCAGATTATAGAGTGGTGAATTCACATCAATCAACTCAAGGCTTACCAGCAACCAGTGAAAAACAAAGTTTTATCATCTCCAAACATCAGCCTGACAGCAATGGAACAGAATCTGGAAAGGAGAGGTTATGAGCATTCCAGGAAAATGCTAATTTCTCTCAGCATCTCCCTCCCAGGCACACATTTCTTGCAATGAAGGGTTAAGAGCTGGCACAGGATCTCATGGCTTGGGTTTTGCCTCTACCCAACATCTCCCAAGCCTTTCCTACGCCTGGCAGCTCTGGTCCTGCTGCCACTGCTTCATCTCCTTGCACTGGCTTCCCCCAGACCCTGCAGCAGCACCAGATCCTTGTGAGCCCCACCTCAAACTCCAGAACTGAGCTCACCCCTGAGAAGTGCTGAGAAAGTTCATCCTTTGCATTTTAACAGTGCATTTGCACTATTGTTTCACGTGGGCACATCCTTACTTGTCCCAGACTTGAGGGCT